AATATGCTAAATAAATTCTAGTAACTGTATAAATACAAGTATTGTTAGGCATTTTTAACTGAAAATTGCTTTTGTGATAAATATTTCTTCAGCATATTTCAAGAGTAGACAGTACACTAGTTAAACAAAACCATTCTGATAGGAGCTATATTTATGTCATGTCTGAATGTGTTAAGATAGAGGTGTCCAACCTTTTGGTCCCACTGGCCAGATGAGTGGTGGAGGGATATCCAGTCTGTAGGCTTACACCAGACAAGGCCTCAGTCCTGCACATCATATGGCAGCTGTGGCTGTAGCTTCTGCCCCATGGTGGATCAGACCTACTGTCCCCAGACTCAGCCCCATGCATGCTGGATCTGCCCCTCTACCCCAGCCCTGGAATCCTAGCCCCAGTCCCACCCCAGCCCTGTGTGCAGGTATAATTTTGAAACTATCTAAATAATGGCTTACAAATAATAGCACAAAGAAACATTTACTTTAGAAAAACAGGCAATCATCATGTTTAAATAATTTAAATTTGAAACTCTTTAGAGTTTTGCCTGTCAACATTGACAACATTTGGCTCTAAATCCAAAAATATCCAAAGGCATGAACACACCTTTTGGGTTTGTGAAGGGTAGTTAGCAGCATTAGTCAAAAGTCAGCCAGAAGGCTGGGCAAGGCACCCTAAAGACTAATTGGGTCAGAGAACCATAAGCCAAGTTTCTCAGGTGCTATAGTTGGTGTCTGCAAACATACACCCCATTCTGCAAGTCCTTTCTTAGGCAATAGTCCACCTGAAATCAGTGTGAGTTTTGCTGGAGTGAGGATTGTTGAGTCAGACTTGCATAGTGCCTCTTGTATTGGCCTTGATTTAATTCTGTATTCATATTAATCTAAATTTTTACACTGGCAGCAGTAATCAAATAGTATTTCCAGATAGTACACTATACTTACGTTTGCTCCTGACTGAAGCTTCTGCCACAAATTACCAAAATACAAAAAAAGCTTAAAATATTCATAGCTGACAAGCACCAACCCAAAGATGCTAGTAAATCCTGGTGAAACCGCATTTGGTTCTTCCTTCAGTCAAGTCAGTGAGTGGCATTTGTATTTATCTAACAATTAACCATTAACTGCAGATCTCTGAAAAGGCTGTTGTCCCCTCTCCTTATCTCATGACTTTGAAATTATCTGCACAACCAAAGCCATAATTTTGTCCACAGCAAGCCATATGTAATCCACCTCTTAGAATTTTTCTACAAAAAGTTTTTTTATTGCAAATTCCATTTGATCAAAATCTGCTTTCTGCAAGAACATGTCAGTTTTGATTAAATTTGTTCAGAAAATCAAAGTAGAGCCCTTTGATAACTTCAGTGTTCAGTTTAAATTCTTTTGGAACAGGAGTTTCATGTTTGGTTTTGTAATGTCTTTGAAGTTAGAAATGCGTTTTATATTATAACATAAAGATGAAGTAAGAATCAAAACAAATTATGTCAATTCACCTGAAATGATTTTTTCCGTCAAAAATTTAACTTAAAACTGTCAAAATTCAGTCCTCCATTCCAATTGCTATTAAAAACAAAGATTAAAATAATGGAATTTCCTAGGATATGGAGATCCTATTTCTCATGCTACTTCAGTAAACTGATTATTGGTGGTTACCTGGTTGCAACAATATACTTGCTGTCAATTGATTATTCTGTTGACTTTTTCCAGTAATGTAACTGATTAATGAGTTACAGCAAAAGTAGCTTACATTGAACAATCTTCTTTATTAGGATAAAGAAACTGCACAATCCTAGAACTATTCTGTCATTCCCAGCCTCACCTACAAAGCTTCTGCCTGTAATCCCATCCCTCTTTCTTCCTGACTGGTTCCTGAGACAAATGTAAAACAACCACCTACATATGCTCATATTTCTTCAGTGCTTCCCCTTTTTTCCTTTAAAAAAATATAATCTTGATTAAAAATTCATATTTATCAGTTAAAGCTTTAGATTAATCAGTACTTATATTGTTATTGTTCATAACAATAGTTAATATAATATAACCATAGTCAGTCATATTTGTGCCTCAAGACAGATTTTATTATTTACTCAGCTCAATATTACATCCTAAATTTGCAGATCATTTGAGATGTCAAAACAAGAAAATAAGCCCTCTATTTTTCAAAATATCAGACAGGTGTTACCTTTTCCTTTACAAAAGTCTATCAGGAAATGCTGTGTACATGAGGGATTCTTTGAATTGTGTCTTTCAACCCATTATTCAAGATCCAAGTCATTTCACCTTGTTCTTTTAGGTCGTGACCTATGCCGAACCACTAACACACTTAAATTTGGGTTCACTCTCACCCATCCTGTATTCTACTCAACACGTCAAGTTCAAAAAAATGCCTGACAGTTTGAAAGAGATTCCCCCTTCTCACTGCACAAAAATCACGGCCTGGATTACAGGAGCCTTAATAGCCAGCCATGTGTCAACCGTACCCCATAGTTTACAGCTGTAATTGTGTAGTAGCACTACTGACTATTTTACGCAGTCGTGAGTTCTGTAGTAAGGCCATTGAAAAGATAGTCCCAATGCCCTACAGAACATGAGTGAGCAAGAGAAAGCATGGGAGGAAGACTGTTATGCACAAGGTGACATCTGTATTACATGCTTTAGATTTGAAGACATCCTCAACTGCTAGTCATAAAATACTCATTTTATGACTAACTAAAACTACATAAAGCCACTTTGCTTTAATTTCTCAAAAACATTCTTAGTCTTCATTCTTTTGAATCAGCTGTTGTTGCCATTTATAAAAGTTTAAAGGTATAATATATCTAAAAGTAACCAAAAGAAGAATGCGCTGTGTTCATAAACTTATCTGAGTCTATCCCAACCATGCAGCTGGTCCAATAAAAAGACAGCACCCACAAAAATCCATGACATAAGGAGAGATGTATTGGTAATGACTGTAGTAAAAGAAATGTTAGAGGTAGAACTTTTACTTGCCTGCCAACTTAGTTACAATACTTTAACAAACAAGTCTATAAAATAGTTAACTAAACAGAAGTTGTGCAAGATTTTGCAATTTAAACAAACACTGTAGCCAACATTTACGGGAAAAGATGGTTTCAAAGTAAATCTTTGATCAATATAACATGGTATTACCAGAAGCACACCAGGTTAGGATTTTTTTGTTTTTCCTCTCAAAAGAAGTAATTCTAACAATGCTCAGAAGACAACCCCGCTGTCAGGATAAAGCAGTTAAAATGATTGTGCCCTATTACTTATTTATTAAACATCATCAAGCTATGCTGAAACCCACAACAAAACTTTTATATACACAGAAGCCAAAAAATAAAGTGCGTTGGAAAATAATTCTTAAAGTTTTGTTGTACAATCTTTACATGCCTAAAATTATTAAATCAAAGATAAATGCTAATGTTTCTTCTCATACCAGCCCAGCCTCTGGCTTCTTTACTTTTCATTTCATCCAGAAAGAGCACACACCAACTGCAGAGGCTTCCTCAGCCTGACGAAGGGTTTTTAAACCCGAAAGCTTGCTAAGAATTTTTTTTTCTGACAATTTAAATCAGCCTAATAAAAGATATCAGATTCACCCAAAGAATCTTGTCTGCCTACATCCTTAGACCAACATAGCCACAGCCTGGTAATGTTTCTCCTCTGCCTTCTTGTTTTCCTGATTCAAAAATTCAAAAGACTTTTATCTAAGTCTATTCCAACCATGCGGTTGGTCCAATAAAAATATAGCACCTGCAAGAATCCATGTCATTAAAAAATTATGCTTGTTCATAACCTAACACATACTTGCCTGGCTCTGAAACCCACACCATATAATTTATATGACACACCAACATAAACTTAGGGTCTGATATGGCTCTGCCTGTAACACGCCTGAAGTTGGTGTTTCATATAAACTACATGGTGCTGTGGGTTTTTAGAGCCATGTGTTAGGTTATGGTTCGAGCAAGCAGAATTTTAGACCTTCACCTCCTGGTAGACCATGATCTCCATGCAGACTTTCAAGGTCTTCCAAGAAATGAAAAGGAAGAACTTTATCCCTTCCTTTATAAAAATATTCATAAAAAACACAGGGGAAAACTATGTTTTTTTAACCAGCAAGCAGAAGGCGACACAAAACTGAAGTACAAACAAGTTTCACTCCTGTGAGATACAACGCCTTTAACTGGAATAATGTAGAGACAAGTGAAAATGCTACCAGACTTTTCTCAGTGATGCAGCATGCTATAAATGCCAGCTAAAATTTTCGGTGTAAAAACCATTCCTACGCTCCAATGTGAAACAGCAGGGAGAACAAGGCAATGAGCTCAAAACACTCCAGTTTGAAGATGGTTCGTCAAATAACCAAAGACTCTAGTGAAAAAGACACCCACAGAAAAAAAGACTGAACGCCTCAGGAGCTAAACCCTGCACTTTGCCCGCTCCCCTCGATGCTGCAGAGTTTAGCCAGGGTCCACATGCCAACCAGGGAGGTGAGGTGAGGCAAGGCTCAGCCCGAGGGCCTAATGGTCACCACTGCCCCTTGACTTCATCCAGCACCTCTGAAGAAACCAAACCCATGGTCTGCGATCCGGCAGCCAAATTTTAATTTTTTTTTCCAGAGGAACAGCCAAAAAACCTGCCCCATGTCTGGAAGCTGCTGCATTGTCCCAGCCTCCGGATTTTGCCGAGGTGAAACGAGGCAGATTTTGCTCCGTTGTGAACGGAATTCAGCACTTTACAAAGAGGCTGGCTTGGAGTGGAGGGGGGGTGACATGCAGGCCTGGCTGCGCAGGAGGCAGCGCGGGCTGTGAAATAGGAGCTCCCTGGCCAGGAGCAGCCCCAAGGGGGGGAGGGGTGGGCAGGTAGATGGGGACCACGCACTCCCACACGAACCCCGACCACCTGCCGGCCCCGCCCACCACGCAGAAGCGGGGCGGGTGACGCCAGAACCCCGCGCCAAACGCCCACAGAAGCTCCGCCCCCTGGGCTGCGGCCGTTGGGAGTAGGCCCCACCCCCTCGCGCGCAGCTCGGAAACAAAATGGCGGTGGCGCGGCGGCCTGGTCCGGGCTCTTAAAGGAGCCGCTCCCCGTAAGTCTGTGGTGGGGGTGGGGTTAGGGATCTACAGTAGGGCGAGGGGAAAAGGGAAAGGGGTGTGGGTCCTGCCTGCGGGGGCCGGGGCTGGGCACGGCGGCAGGGGAGGGGAGGGCAGGAGGCGGGGAGGCGTTGCCATGCCAACCCAGGTAAGCAAAGGCAAGCGTTGGCGGGAGCCTCCCGGGGACGGTGACTCCCCACGGCCCCAGGGGAAGGGTGCAACCCCCCCCAGTGCCCCAGGTGAGAGGGGTGCAAACCCCCCCAGTGCCCCAGGTGAGAGGGGTGCAACCCCCCCAGTGCCAAAGGTGACAGGTGCAAACTCCCCCCAGTGCCCCAGGTGAGAGGGGTGCAAACCCCCCCAGTGCCCCAGGTGAGAGGGGTGCAACCCCCCCCAGTGCCAAAGGTGACAGGTGCAACCACCACTCTCCCCAAAGCGCCCCAGGCAAGGGGGAAGCCTAATCTTGCACCCAGCAGCGACCCAGGCCAGGCTGCAGTGCACACGTCCAGGCTGAGTGCCATGGCTGGGGCACTGCAGGTGGAAGGCGCAAAGCCCTGGTGCACGGTGCTGCAGCAGCGGGCCAAGACATCTGGTGGTGCCTGAGTAACAGATGTGTGAGGGCTGGGCTGTGGCCACCTGCCTGGGCTAAGTGGGTGAGGCAAAGAGATGTGAAATTGTGTTGGTGTCACTGTAGAGGCATGTGTTGCCCCGGGCCTGGTGCTGGAAGACCTGCCGGTGCGAGGCAGCAAGGCAAAGACAAGTCAGCCTGTGCTAGCGGTACGCTAGCTTGGTGTCATGGTGAGAGGTGCAGTAATAACCCAGCATTATTGTAATTGCAGGTTGCACCAAAGCCTTTGCTTTGCAGCAGGATGATGTTTTGTGCTTCTCTATTCTGGTATTTTGAAACACTCCACCAGCAATAAAACATGGTGCAATGTCATTTGCTTGCACCTTGAAGAAGTGAATATAAGCATACTGCAGCAGGGATGCTCTGCCTTGGGCTTGTGGGCTTCATCTGGCCCATGGAGCAGTATCGCACAGTCCGTAGAGTTCCCTGTGGGTCTAGCAACTTGGCAGCAGGGAAGCAGTGACAGCATTACTTGCCACCCCCTGTTGCTAAATTTCTACACTGGTGGTGAGCCCTGGGGGTGAATAGCATGGCCCTGTGTGCTAGACTGTGTGTGTGGGACTGGGGCAGCCTGAGGCTTTGCATGGGCAGCATGGAGTTCTGATCTGGGCAATGCGAGGTGGGATCTGGATGGATGTAGCCTGCAGACTGGTTCTGTGCCACTCATCTGACTTGCGGGGCCAAAAGCTGGAGCACCTCTGTTTCGGTGTACTTGCAGTGCTTCATCCCAGTGCTACTTCATGTTTGCATTGCAGCAAGCTGGGCTGTGAGACTTGGTCCTGCAAAATTCATATAAAAACAACAAGCAGCAAACACCTCTGGTTTCAGGACTTATGTGAAGGCCATTTATAAGCATGCAGCAGCTGGGAGCCTCAGGCTTGCTTGCATGACTTAATCTGAACTGGTGTCAGTTAGAGAAGGGACTTTCCTTTTTAAGCAGCTGTTCATTAGGGGATGTTCTCCCTTTTAAAACAAAAGGAGAAGCGATGAAATTAAATGCAAGGGTGGCATTATTGCAGTTGTGAAGTAACACAGGTAGTTGCCCGCATGTACAGAGTGAAAATCCTAATGATGTATTTACAGATGTTTGTTATATGACCTCTGGGCAATGAAGAAGGCCTCGCAACAAAGAACATCACCCAAAAAAACACAGATGTCACCCTCTCGTACCCCAAGTCCAATGTCTACTGTCAGCTCAAGCACCAGGTCACCATCTCCTCTCAGCAGGCAGGGAACTACAGCTAATTACAAACCCAGAGGCCAGAGACTTCAACAACTTGATGTTGCAGGGGAAAGTGATGTAGGAGCTTCTTTTGAATACCAGAGTAAGAAAGGTACTGTGTAAATAATGACTGCAGGTGTAGAAATTGATCCCGAATGCATTTTGATATTGACAGTGTGAAATAAGGTTATTTTGTCTATCAAAAGTGATATTGAAGGGGTATTATCTTTGCATTTATATCTAAAATTTGGCCCATAACAGAGGTAATCTCTGCCTTGAAAAGTTATAAATGGATTGGGGATTCTCTGATTAAAACATTGGTACTATAAACTGTCTATGGATAGTAAATGAGGCTTGGGTTCATGGTATTCCCCTGCACTAGCAAATTTTGCTGAAATGGCACAGGGAAAATGGATCCTGGAGATTTTGTTGGAATATTCACTCCTCCAAGTCTCCAGAGACCCTGTACCCTCCTCCCGCACCGTACTTCTGGAGCTACTTCTGATGTGTTCATTTTCTTTTCATACCTTCTGCGGCATAACCATTCCCAGATTTCCCTTTTTTTTAATATTACAGTAAGTAAAACATTGTAATTTTCTTCATTTCGGTGCTAACAGCATTACATATTTTTTCTATTGTTAACTTCAGATGAAGATAGCCCAGGTGTTCGGTATATTACAGAGTCATTGATTAAAAACCTGTCCAAACAGGAAAATTTGGCATATGTAAACTCACTGAATCTTTCTCTTGGTAAGGATTTGGACAAAAAGTTTAAGGTGAGTTATTGCAAGTAATTTTTTATTAACAAGAGCTGAAAACATTGTATGAACAATAATACAATTTAAAAAAGAAATATAATTGTTAAAATTTCTGAGCTGACCTTTAGAACCTGGTGCTGAAAGGCTTTATAATATTTTGTACTATCATTTTATGAATATATGATTCTTATAAATGGGAACCTCTGTATGTGTGTACATGATAACTTGTTTATTTTTTAGTATATAGAAAATTTGGAAAAATGCTCTAAACTAGAAGTACTAAATCTCAGTAACAATCAAATAGAGAAGATTGAAAAGCTGGATAAACTGCCAAAGTTACGTGAACTCAATTTGTCCTACAACAAAATCAGGTAAGCATAAAAATTTGTTTTGGGAATACGATGGAAATTTAGAAAGTTAAGATCCCTCTTGTATGTTTGATAAAGCATTAGAAATCACACCGAGAAGTATTTGTATAAATCCTAAATCCATGTAATCCAATACAACACTTCTCACTGTGATTTCTGTTAACATACATATCATTTGATATAATGTAGAGATATTGTGTAATATTAAAGCCTGGTATCAGGCCTTAATATTAATACAGGTCTTCCTATGTCATTACATCAGCAACAGAGAAGGATTCACCTTCAGAAAAGAGAACTGAAAGATTAAAATGAAAGGGCCTGATCATGCAGTCAGTGCGCTTGCAGAAGTCTTAATTAATACATTTACCACCAACAGATAGCTTCCACTATTTTGAGGAAGCTGTTTTAATTGGGTAATGTAAAAATGCTAAGGGATGATTGGGTGGAATAGCAAACTCCTGCATGCTGCCCTTATTATTTGCCACCAGCAAAGTAAAATTAGTAACTTCTCTTTTAATAAACTCTGGGGCTGCAAACATGGTAACCGCAATTACAGTAAAGAGGTTAAAGGAAGTGTTCACAGGACTAAGTAGCATTTCTGCACAGTGCAATGAAGCAACTTCCTTTCTTTGGAGAGTTAGAAAATAAAATAAAATAATGCCAAAGTAATGTTGCTTTATTTTAATGTTTATATATATCTCAGAAATCTAGTTTTACAATTTGTTTTCTAATCAAATACAAATATAACTTCAAGATTTCATTTTTTTTTCTTGAGTACAATGAACAGCTTAGATAAAAAATATATTTTGTCTAGTATTGAAATATAAATTATGTTTTCATGTCCATATCACTTTGTATTTGAAGCATGAAATTAAGGTTGGTCAAAAGAATTAATACTTGGGCTGCTATGAATTTGACTGCTAGAGTGAAGGGAACAATGTGGCTGGCTATTAATGCTACTGTCAAAATCTTTTCATCATTTTAATTATAGAATGTTAAAATGAGATACAAGAGATTTGATGCAATGACCTGCAAAAAAGTGCAGCAGCAATAAGCAGCCTTTGTTCTAACTGGTTTAAAGCATCCCAGGGTTTTTTATACAATTTTGTTTTGACCTGTAAAATGACCTCTACTAAGACACTTTTTTTGCTAGTTTCCTGGGTGATTATTTAGGATAGATTTTATTGTACAGTATCCCTGAGGGCATAGCTACAGTGTTCATCTGACTTCATTCCTAATAGCTAAATTCCTTGCTTTCTTTCTTTTCAGTAAAATTGAAGGTATAGAACATATGCAGCATCTTCAAAAGCTGAACCTTGCAGGGAATGAAATAGAGCATATTCCTGTGTGGGTAGGAAAGAAATTAAGGTCCTTGCGCATCCTTAATTTGAAAGAAAATAAAATATCCTCAGTAAGTGACGTCAGCTAGCTGTGATAATTGTTCACAATATGTTCTTTTTAAAGACTTTGGTAACTGACTTTTTTGCAATGTACATAAGCTAGTATGGTTATTATTTTAATAATTACACGCTCTTTGTAGGGGAAAAAAGTACAGCAGTAATTGATTTACCATCAACTTCACAAGGCTGCTCACTGTGTAATCAGGAAAAACCTTCCTCTGTCACAAGGCATTCAGTTTTAAAACTGTTACATTAGTCAGGACAAAGCAAGGTTTTGCAAAATGAGGAGAAACTTAATGGAAATGGACAAGGTTTTTTCTCATGGTTTCTAGTCCAGTTCTTCATGAAGTGTGCATCCACTTGAAATTAGCTCAGGTTGGCACTATGTCTTGTGGAAAGCACAGGAACAAAAGTCACCTTTTACTTGTTTGAGACATGTTTAGATTAACTTCTGAGGTTAGCTATGATGAGAACTCGTGTGCTAGTAGTGCAGCTCTTGAAGGAGCCATGGCTACTAGTGAGTGAATAGGGTCAGCCCATTATATAGACAGCTGCTTGGGACTGGGGCGCCCTTTCCCTGTGAACTCCTATGATCCATTTGACTGTGGAGTGTTGGACCCTTCTAAACTCTGAACCTGACTCAAGTAACAAGCATTTGGAATTTCCAAAGCCACGTTTGCCAACTTCCTATCAGGAACAGTTTCATTCCAGGACAAGAGTACGCAACTTGTACTCTGATATTGCTCTACACTTTTGTTCTGTGCACCCTCTTTTTGTATATAAACAAATGTATCCTTTCCTATGATGATGTTAATTTATTTTATTCAACACCAGAAAGTAGGTGGTAAGGAAATGATTGACCTAAAACAACTATCTAATCATGGTATCTTCTTTTCTTTGATTTAGCTCCATGACATAGCTAAGCTGAAGCCACTAAAAGACTTGACTTCTCTATTTCTGGCAAACAATCCAGTTGTAAATCTGCCTCATTATCACCTGTATACCATATTCCACCTGAGGTCACTAGAAAACCTTGAGGGACAACCAGTGACAAATCACGACAGGCAGGAGGCTCTCGAGAGGTTCAATTTAGGTAATTGCTATGATGCGTGAGAAGTACTGTGAACTCTACCAAATGTAGATGGAAAGCTTTGTAATTGAGGTAGTCATCTGACAGATTGTTAAATAAGGTTTTGAGTGACATGGTTGATATTCCTGAATTTTAAACTCACTATTAAAGTTTACTGCTAATCTCTCATAACCAGCTATTACCTCTGAAGACCACTCACGTTCCTCTAAGAAGAAAAGAAATATGTTAGAATTTTATACTGCTGGGAGGTTATTACAAGCAAAAACAGAATTGTCCTTTTATTTAAGTCCGTTGTTTAGAAGGCTGACTGTATCCATCATAAGGTCAAAAGCATAGTTTTGTTTCTGATTTCACTTTAAATTATTATACTTGATAAGGGTTACAAACATATACTCTGTCTAATTCATGGTTACTCCATTTCTGTGCTTGGTCAGGGAGTTTGAGGAGGAAGAGGGCTGTAACTTAAGCTTTTTTTCCCCCTTCTTAGAAGCAGAGAGAAGTTTAATGATGGCATCCCTGACTCTCTATGAGCAAGCCAGCTTAGAGTCTTAATTTTTGCTCTTGACTGTGCAAAATGTCCTCTTCCAAGGGGTAGAAATGGGCCACTGAAAGTATCCACTTTGTAATCCAGAATGGTTCAGTCCCTGTGCATGTATGTAGTGATAGCTAACAAAAAGAGCCACTGTGAGTTTGAGAGAGTATTCTTATTATATCTAGGAAGCATGGCAATATAAGTCACTTGAGAATTTTTTTCAATAACAGTTTTAACTATTTGTATTATTTGCATGGATTCTTTAAAGCAATTATTAAATTTATAGGATACTTCTTTTCTGGTTAAGAAGGATTCTCTGCTATCGTATATTAGATAGAAAAAATGTGGAAAATGAAGACAAATGTCTTTATTTTGTTTTATAGAAGAGATAGAAAAGTTAGAAAGAGATTTGGAGAAAACAGTAAAAGAGATGGAGGACCTTAAAATTAAACAGTCCCAAGTGCTTGAGCAACTTCAACATCAAGATGAGGCCAACAGATCATTAAAAGAAAAGGCCCTGCAACAGAAACAAAGCTATAAAGAACTTCAGAGGGACCTAGACACCAAAAATGAACTGGTAAACTAATACTTTGCATCAAATATATTTGGGAATAATATTTTTTTTACATATTCATAGATAACTGGGAATTTAAATGCTAGGAATTTATGTTTAAATTTGTATTTGGATCTCTGTGGCTTGGAGGGCATTCTCACCCAGCAGGTGGCTTTTTCATCCATGTCTTGGAGTAATGGGCAAAATCTATATTACAAAAACTAGCACTATCCCAAGTAGCAGTTTTGGCATAGAGAAAAAGAAGGGTTGGATCATAGCAAATAACCTCACCATATCAGAAAACCTCAAACTTCAAGGCTTCGGCAAGGTAAAGATGCCTGGGGAAGCTTATTAGGCAGGTAGAGACAGGACTTCAGTTTGCAGATTTGTTGAATCGGGCACCTTTCACATGCAGTATATTCACTAAAGCCAGCAGTCCGCTAGTATGCTTCGGATGTCTTTGGATCGTGTTCCCTTGAAAAAACTAAAGTAATGTACATATTAGGAAAAAGTAGCTAACCGGAGGATGCTTTGCTGGTGTTGCCAAGGAATAGTTATGCTCTAATTTTGCAGCACCTCAAAATCACGTAAGTAGCAGAAACAATAACTCAATTTGATTTAATTTAGAGTAAGACATTTGCGTCCTTGCGCATTACTTGCCCCATTTTTCTCTCTTTCCTTCTCAACAAGCTTGTACATTTTTGCCCCCATGATTGCTCCTACAACTCTATTCTATGTATTATTTAAGTAGCCTGTAAGCTACCAACAAAAATGGAGGTTAGTTGTCTTTCCACTTAGTTTGATATGGAAATAGGCCTTTTGGGATATACAGATTTCTCATGAATTAAGCCTTTTTAAGGTATAAAATGTTGTATATTTTCTATTGCTTTAGTAGTAAAAAAGCTATTTGTCTCTAGTCCCTTTTTGTTTTAAAATTCTGTGCAACAATAAGAGGTTAAGTTCCTGAGAGCTGCTAAACTTCCAGCATACTGAAACTTCTGCACTATTTTTTAAGCTGCTGCTGTAATAATGTAAAAAATCTTGAAATTTTATTTTCTTTGTTGGATATAAAATGCAACATTTACAAAACTGGCTCCTATAATGTGACGCTTTACATTGCCAAGTAATAATTGATTCATTCATATGTATGGTAAGTTCCAAGTAATGTATATTTAATTAAAATCGTCTTTCACACATGCACATCCATAAAACATGTCCTTTAAAATATTATTGCTTAATTTTTCCATAAAGTAAAGTGAATTAAGTAGTTTACTTTTATAAATATTTCCAACACACTTTCTTCTAAACAGCAGCAGGTTTCTGAAAAGTAGTTTTCAAGTATAAGCAGGGTTTAGCAGAGTATGTATTACAACTTAACCCATTCTTGACCTTTTAGATGACAAACATTGCTTGCTTCTTTCTCCCTTTAGCTGGTATCTTGGTTTGTCACAGTTCCCTTTCTGCTGAGCCTTTGTTCCTCACTAAAGGTAGTCCCCATGTACAGCTGGACTGCACAGGTGTTTTTTTATTGTGCATAAGAATTGCTTGCATGGTCACTAGTGTCTAAACATAAAAGGTTCCAATGAGACTGTTCATTTGATGTAATTTATTTTCTCAGTCATCTTCCATTTTTGGAATTTGACCATTTTTTGTATGGCATGAAATACTTTAATTTTTAAACTTTTTGTTAAGCTTACTGCTTATTCCTGTCTATTCCATTTCCTTTTTTCACTCCATTAGTCCTGTATTCTGCTTTCTATTGGGGCTTTGCTGCATGCTCTCCTTCAGGTCTTCAGCATGAAAATATGATCCCCCCACCCCCCCCCCTCCAAAAAAAAATCACATGATGGACCTCTATAAAAAGTTGATTAATGGCAAAGGTTTAAAATACATTAACATTTACTGTTTTAAAGTACTGTAAATAGTATCTTTTCAATTAGGAGAATTTTAAATTCCCATCAACGCAAAAAAAAGAAAAAGTAAGAGTGTTGAGTCACACAGTGAACCATATTATTATCATTCTTCAACAGTTAACGTTCTTTAAAATTTAATTGGCTACAGTTTAAGTTGCCTTCTGCTAAATGACCAGTTACAGAACCGTACCATGAATGACAAATCTTTGACAAAACCATTTATTACAACAATTAGCTATGTTTGAATTGTATGAAATGAAGTTTCAAAGGACCTTCATGTGATCATTTGTACTGAAATTGTTGTGGTTTTGTTTGCCGTTGTTTATAGTAATTTAAAGCTAAGGTAAAATACATTCTTGTGTTACACCTGTTGCCGCAAAACAATTCATAACTTTTTTTTTTATATCACTGCAAAGGTTTTGGAATGACTGTGTACTTCATACACACACCATATGCTGTTAATTTGAAATGTATCTTGCAATTCAGGTGGTAATTTCCTGATGACAGTGATTCTTTTTGTTTCATGCTGCCATTAGCTAAAGCAGAAGACTGTGGAGTTAACCCGAGCCTGCCAGAAGCAATATGAATTGGAGCAGGAACTGGCTTTTTATAAGATTGATGCCAAATTTGAGCCATTGGGTTACTTTCCATCAGAGGTAATGCTTTCAAATATGAATTTTGTGTTTCTCAAACTGTGAAGGAGGTTGTATTTTTTGCCCACTCATAAATCTTGCTTTACATATGGATCCTTGTTATAAATAAATGGAACTGTAACTTTGATTTTAAATCAGTTTAATCATTTTAGCCCACATGTTTTCTTGATGAGATTAAAATTAATATTTCTTAATATTATATAGTATTTAATACGTACATAACAATGCAAATACTTTGTTTAGCTTAATGGAGCAAACAAATACAGCATCTGTCACTAATGATAATCATGCAAAGGATATCCCCCACTCTGGGCTTCATTCTGCAGCTCTTGTGAACTTCTGGCTCCCTGAACTCAGTGCCAAAGCTCCTGTTGATCTAAGGGGTCAGGTTTTCCATCCTCTGTGGTGTACTTACTCCCAAGAATAGCTACTTTTTGGTTCAGAATTTGACCTTCTCCTTTAGAGACATATATGCATTATAGGAGAGAGCACAATAAAAGTATATGTAGTTCAGTGCATTTTAATTGTTAAAAATGCAATTTTTGCTAAAGCTTAAAAGGTAACAACTTTAAAAAAAATCGCATTTATTTCATGGTTTTACACTATTTTAATGTTATAAGTATATCTAGACATAAGAAAGAAACACAACTCCTTAAGTTAGTATTAGTTGTTGCAGTTGATGATATTTGAATAAGGTTTCCCTTGCTTTACGCTGTACATGTGTTCCTGGAAAATGGTGCATAGCTCAAATTCACATAAAGGGAACCCACTTTAGAATGTAACAAATAGGCAGCTGTTCCAAGACCTCGACTGTACTGATGTGGCGTCGCACTGCTCCTGGGGCAGCTGCAGCTCCAGAAACATGGGCACCAACTGCCCTGAGCGGCAGCTGTGGGTGCTGCTGCTGGGTGGCTTCATGGCTCACTGCTCCCGGGGCACCACGCTGATGGGGCCGGGCCAGGTTGGGCTGCAGGAGCCAATGTTGCCGCGTGGCTTGGGCACCACCACCCGGCTCAGCCCCCCAAATAATTTTTTCTTCCTCTGTCTATCATGTCACTCCCACAATACGCCGCACAAAGCAGCTGACTGCAGGTTTCCACCACACTGATCACATAAGAGTGAATTTACCTCTCATATAATTAATTTGTGGTATAAAAAGGGTCATTGCATAAGAGCAAATTCGCACATACAGAACCTGCATAAAGCGAGGGTAACCTTGTATGGTCATTATAGACAATTAAAATGCCTGTAGGACTGGAACTACATCATTCTTCTCTTTCCTTCCCTCCCCAATACTGTTTGTATGACCCATTCTTATGTAACAACCAGGAAGGAAAGCATTTTAAAAACAGAAAGCATTCACTGTAAAACCAGATAAACTTGTAAAAGGAATCAAGGTATGCATAACATTTGAAACTTCATTTAACTCTTATTTTTAAACTGTCAAGTTTTCAAGGTAGTCTCCCTTCAGTGTAGGTTAAATTCAAGCTTAAATATGCAAAATTATTATTTTCCAGCATATGAAATAATGTAATATGCGTTGTTAAATGTCGTCTTTCAGGATGTTGAACTTGATGATGTACCTGGTGAAAGCCCTTACATCGGTAAAGCTAGATACAAGAGAAACATGTATACCAGAGAAAGTTACATTTCTAATAAAGCGCAGCAAATTCAAGTTAGAAAAATAGAAGTAGATGAAGATGATCTACATAGGAACCAAGAACTTAAATCACAGCTTCATCAAACTCTAGATAGAGAACTAGAAGATAAAGAAAAAAAGATACAAGAAGGTAAATTTGGAAGTTTTCACAAGTAAAATTATTATTACTATTATTATTGTTGTTTTGGTTGTCGTTGTCACCATCATTGTTATTGAGATGTATACAAACCTGGTTCCCTTTATCTGCTGCCAGAGGAACATTCTGATTCAGACTGAACTTAATAATAATAATAATAATAATAATAACAACAGCTAAAACTGTATGATCAAGGTGGCCTCTAAAATTATCCAAAAAATAAGGAGTTAAATAAGTTAAGAGAATTTTGCATGAGGGGACTTGGGAGAAAAATGTATTGTTTTTAGTTGCTAAAAATGTAGTGCTAAGAGCGAGACTCATTTATAGGCTTCAGATGTACCAGCAAGGATGTACCAGCCAGGAGATTTCTCTCCTTCCTCCAGCTGTGAGCTGAAGGTGAAAGAAGTTGAGAAAGTTGAAGGGGTTGGGGAGTGAGAGGGGAGAGAGTGCGAAAAGTGGTCTTCTGCCCACATGGACCCTCCATACCAGCTGTGGATACAACTGTGCACTGTTGCACTTCCTTTTTTCAGCAGTGAGCAGGGCTTAGCAAGATTATTGCTACCCCTGTTCAATCCCCACACAGCTCTGAGGATTGCAGAGAGACTGATGTTGCTTAAGCTAGCATGATAGAATATAGAACATATACATCAATGCTTCTTAGAAATTATTTAAACATGGTTTGGTGGGGATTTATTTCTTTGCAGCGCAAGGAAGATTAGCAGAATTGCAAAGTGAAATAGTAAATGGAGAACAACAAGTTTTGAAAGCAACAGTGGAGCTTAAACAACTTCAGGATGCTTTGGCTCAGAAAAAAGTATGTAAAAACCAACAACGTTATCAGGAAAGAAAATAAACATGTTGAAGCAGTGTAGGCATAGAAAATTGAAGTGTCTTCCTCCCATTTCACTTCCCAGTGTCTTAAATGCCTATGAATGAGGGGTGCAATGTAAGGGTGTTTAAGACAGCTTGTGTGACTTCTGAGATGTCAGCTTGAGCATCACTGAGAACTCATGTTGAGGAAATAGATAACTTTTTAAGACATAAAGTACATGTAGTTGAAATTATAGATGCAGTCCAGCTTCTCATAAGATTAACTGGTTGTTGCCTTTGTGCAAAGGACTTTGAATGGAAATGTGTGTGTTGCTTTATGTGTCCATATCAGTAATCGCCAATAAGAGCCCCACTTCGCGAAACAGGATTTCAATCCTGACTGCATTTTTTCAGTGCCCGTTGCCAGCAGTATGTGCACTGTCTCAAGAGTTAGGTAGTTTTAGTAAACTTGGCAGAAAGTAACAGTGCTGATGCTGTGTCTTCATATAATGAAGAGGGTATAAACTCACACATTTCTTGGATTCACATGATTCTGATACTCTGTGTGGTGAATTAAAGTAAGTTTCTTACAATGCAGTCTGGTACTCTCATGTTTTAAGGAATAACAATGAGTTAAACTCAGAAGTAAACATTGTAGCTGCACGAAAAATAGAAAGACCAGAAAGGATGTTTCAGCCTATTTGAAAATGTATCTACAGCTTTTTGATTTTGTGTCCTCAACTATTATTACTGATCTTATTGCTATGCATGTTTTACAAACCAGCAATTTAACATTTTTTTCCTTTTAAAAAGCCATAGCTTTGACAAAATATATTGTAAACTTTTTAAGACAGCAAGAAGCAATTATAAGTGATTCAAATGCTTTAACTTTCCCTTAGATTTTTTTCAAATGACATTTAAATGAGGTTTTTAAGATAACTAGCCAAACACCATGACTCTGGGCTTTCCTGGCACAGTAGGCCAAGGCTCAAGGTTATATAATTATTAAAGGCAATTCCAAGTAGTTTGTTCCAGTCTTTATAGTTTGAGGGAGAGAAAATACAATAAACTCTTGCCAACTGAGCAAAATAACCAGGACTCAAACCTTCAGGGATCAGTGTTTTTTAGACAACACATTAGGTTAGATAACTGCAATCTGTAATAAAAGTGACGTGTTTATCAAATGCAACTTTCTGAAGCAGGCATTTATTTTCAAGTTTAATTGCGTTTTCCCATGCTCTGTCTTCAGATTTCAGAAGCCAATACAGAAGATCTTCAACAGCAATTAAATGTTAAAATACAGCTCTTAAATCAGTTACGAGATGAAGCTTTGGAATTGGAAAAACAGATGGAAAAACAGAGACAAGAAATGGGGAAAAAGCAGAAGGAGATTGAAGATTTGCAGAGCTTTATAGATTCTTTAGATCCTAAAGATCCGAGACATGTAAGTTAACTACTAACGATTCAAAAATTAGCTTTTCCATGCTGTTTTTTGTTGTTGTTGGAGGGTATCCATTTGTTAAATATTTTTCTGATGTATTTTAACAAATTAGAATCCAGTTATGCCTAGAAGCATGTGTCCTTCATGCTGTTTAGCAACACTTCATTTCTGAGTTGAATACAACAATTGCTTGCTCTAGTTACTTTTTAAAATTTTGACAAAGTAAAAAAACAAGTTCCTTCTTTAACAAATGTATTTGTGGAACTAAATGTTCAACTAAACCACAAGCAGTAGTTTATAAGAAGACATAATTGTTGGCATCTCTGGAAGTTCAGCTACTCTACACAAGTCAAAAGCTGCTGTTACTACTTTGGATCTCTTTTTTGCACAGACCCTAATGGAGACGAATTCATATCTCTCCTTATAAGAACTGTTTCCATGATTAGCTGCTTGTGCTCAAGGGCAGTGTCCCTTTCAGGGGAAAAATCCTTTTAATAATTCAAGAATCCCTGTAGTATAATGTATTGTTCTCTGGAGCATACTCTGAGAACTTTAGTGACCAGTAAGTAGTCTAATTCTACCATACATATACCATCGGATTTGCTTTCTCACGGTATGTGGTGCACTATCCATAAACTATCAAAAACCCTTTCTTCAATCTGCTCAAGTGGCCCAACTGACAGTTTTTTGCTGCAGTTGGCCTGGAGAAAACATTGGTATGGCTTCTGTTTCTCCAGCCTTTACCATATCCTCTTGCTTTCGTACAGTAGGGAGCATGGTGGCTGTGGAACAGAGAAGTTTATGAACAGTTGCCTTATATCTTTCCCTGCACAGGACTTGTCTCTGTAAAAGTAATGTACTTGAGCCTTCCACTCTCAGCAGGTGGAACATACAGGCCTATGCTTACTGTATTGTTGAAGAAGAGGTTTCAGTTTCTGAATACCTGGAGGCAAATGCAGATATTCCAGGAAATCTATATTGATGACCTGTTTCTTTTATCGCTTTAAAAGCAGTCCTTAAAAATTTAACCGTTAGCATAATTGTGGTTTCTAACCCCAGCAGATGTTGTATACGGCAGATTTAAATTAATACGAAGTGAAATTAGAGTACATTCAGTTTGAAACATGCATCCTAAAAGATGACTTATTTTTTAAATAATAGCTTTCTGTATTCAGAGCTGTTGGTTGTAGCTGTGTTGGTCTAAGGACATAGGCAGACAAGGTTCTTAAAGTACATATGATATCTTTTATTAGACTAAATACTTGGAAAAAAATTCTTTGCAAGCTTTTGGGTACAAACACCTGAAAGCTCGTTTTTGTTTTTTTTTTCTTCCCCCCGGATGTTTGTACCCAAAAGCTTGTAAAGAATAATTTTTTCAACTATTTATTTGGTCTAATAAAAGTGGTCACATTTACCCTAAGAACTTTGTCTAGCTTTCTATATGAGTATTCAAGCTGGGTTTTTTTTTTATTTATGTCAATATACACACAAAGTATCCCCAGGCCTGATTTCTCTGCTTTTGCCTGAGGGCCAGAGGCTCCGATCTAAAATGTATTTTAAACCGACAGTTTAAAAAAATAGGCAGATTGTAACGTTCTGTGTTTCAGGAAGATTTCTTAAACCAAAGGAAGCAGTCTTCTCTAAAAACTAAGCCCAGCCTCTTGGAGAGTAGATCGACTGTTACTAACTCCGTAGTGGATTGGCTGTGGACATAGCTTCCTGTGTTGTGATTTAAAGCAAACAGGGCAGAGTACAGCTTGCAGAGACAAGCAGTGATCGGAGAGCATGTCACTACTCTGCAGTCATGACAAAGAAACTCTCTGAGCCTCTTCAACTTCCCGTGGTTTCAAACCACATGCTCACCAGTGTCGTTGTCAAACAGAGAAGACTGGAAGAGAGAAGACAGAAGAGAAACTATGGTCTATTTAAGCAACTTTCTGTGATTATGTTCTTCATTTTTAAGTAACATGAATTCTAAATTACGGGTGGGGTTTTTTGCAAATAACTTCAGAGGAAGGAAAGACGAAGACAAAGCTGTAAGTGTTTTTCTTAACAATGGTCTTGTGACATTCAGCAGCTGCCCCACGATAAAGATTCAACAGCTGCAGCTGCATTTGACTTTATTTGGTAGAAGTATATTTTGGAAGTTAAAACTGTTAAAACTGTAATCCTTTTTTGACAGGTGATGATTTTGAGTTGTTTTAATGTGAATGCAAAGGGTTGTAACTGCATATTTTAGAAATACTGTGTTACATGATTTATTTCTGCCACAGCAGTTTTGTGAAAAGCAAAATGGCTGTATAAGTTAAGCATATGTTTTTATGGCTTTATTTGAAAACTAAATGTCTTACAGTAACACAACTTTAAAAAATATATATATTGTAGAATTTGAGGAATGAATTAAAACGTAAGTAGCCAGATAAAAGCCTGTTCAGGAAGCCTGTAAAGCTTCTTGTAGTTTAAAAAGTTAAACTTCGTATTATGAAAGTTTCTGAAATTACATATGTTGTGTTTTGAAACTTTAGTTATAAGTAACCCATATCAACAATATTACCAGCATGAACTGCATTCAGTTATAAAAACAAGTTGCACAGCACATGGTAGATCAGAAACTTGGCACTGTTTTCAGTTGTTTTGGGGGCACTGCAGATTAATTGAATGTGGCTGCTCCTAGGAAACTTCAACTTTAAAAATAAAAATGAAAGAAATGTAAAACTGGGCTGACTTGTTAGTTGTATTCAGTAATTTAATGTAGAATATTTAAGCTCAGTTATTAATCTTTTTTTTGATTTTTCTCCCCCCTAAACTGGAGACAGCTTGCTTCGCTACCGTAGATAGAAAATAGGATGATAAAGGACACGAAGAGTTTATCTTGCATAAAGGAGCAGAGAGTGGTATTATCAGATTCTGAGAGCAGTCCTGTTCTTACTTTCTTGGCTTGAATGGGCTAATGAATTTGTGAGAATAAAAGTTGAAAGGATGTTTTTAGGGCTATTACAGATGCATATATCCTTCTCCCCTTGAAGTAACAGGAAATTTGCTATATATATAGCAAATATATATATTTATAGGATTTGTATGCTAGAAGGAAAGCTCACCTATTGGAGGTAAGTGCCTTTTGAAGAAGTAACAATAAATGACATGCTATAAGAAGGAAGAAATTATTAGAGCATCGTACTTCCAGCAGTAGGGTATTTCAGGAACCCTGGGCGTGTCTGCACGTGCAATTAATGCTATTTGTCTTTACTGCTCAGTAGACTAATTTACTGTGCAGTAAGCACCTGTGTAGACAGTGATGCTTTTCTGAGCAATAGATTAGTCTGCTGCACGGTAAAGCATCTCATGTAGACATAGTCACTGAGTCAAAAGACTGAGTTCAACATTTTTAATTGTTACTGATAAATTTTGAAGGTTTATCTGTATAACTTCAATTCACAGGCTCACATGAAGGCTCAGAAAGCAAGTAAAGAGCAGCAACTTAATATGATGAACAAGCATTACAAAGAACTTGCAAGTCGCCTGGATGAGATGCTTTCTCGGATCGCTAGGGAAGCTGAGGAAATTAAGGACTTGGAGCAGCAGCTCACAGATGGTAAAGCAGACTTGGTCTATGGAGAATGTTGCTTCCTAAACAACTCTTCCAATTCCTTGTGGGTCTTCACTGAACAGAGCTCGTAATTAGTTCTAAATTAGTCCAAAAGGAAAAAATATCACTAGGAAGAGGGAAAATGAGAGGCTAGAGGAATGAGGAATAGTGTTTAGTTCTATGTTTGTGTTGGATATTTAAAATACTGTACAGAAGGCACAAAAACCTGGGAGGGGTCTTTTGGTTTTAGACAGGACACTGTTTCCAATGCTTAGAACAAAGGCAAAAAGTAGCATGAGAGCAGAAGATTAATTTGTAGCAAAATCTCTTTTTGGTGACCGTAACAATAATACGCTTGTGTTATTTCTCAAATTTAAAACAATAAAGTGAAAGTTCACAATTTTTCCGATAAACTAGAAAATGTACAGTTAATAACTAGACCTGTAACTTCAAATCAAGGAAAGGACACTTGAAAGGACACATGTGGAGGGAGATTGCAGACAACAGCATGTTTATGATTAATATCTAGCTTTGTATATAGTGTTTTATAAAAGAGATTAGTATCATTATCTCTCTTTCAGATGTAGAAAGTCATGCATAAAGTGGGAAGGAAGTTCTCAGATATCAGCTTACAAGCCAATTACAGAGCTGGGAATAGAATTTAGGTCTCCTAATGTGTCAGGTATTCAAGCTGTAATTACCAAAAAGCTTGCAATTAAAGAATCTTTTTTGCAAAAGTCTTGTTGGTCTAATAAAAGTTATCACCTCTATCACAAGTCCCAACTGGTCTCCTAATGGACATTTCAATTATCCTAATGTCATACTGGAACACATATGACAGAAGCTTTTTCCACCTGTAAACTGTTGCTTATCTTCCATGTGTTACTTTAAACGTATTCCTAGGTAACATGCATGAGTTGGTTCAGGAAGTAACTATTGTTGAGACGCTCCATTTTTTTAAAAAGAAACTAATAAAATATACCTAAAAGCTAATTTAATTGTAATTACCCAGGTGAAAAAAGATGTAGTTATCGTTATGGACAGACTACTAAAAATATCTGTGCAATATATGGAAAAAGACAAAAATAAAGCAAATTAGATATTACTGTTATCATAGTTGGGTCGACTCCTAGTCATCTTCCTGTCCCCCCCCGCCCTTACTGCCTCAGGAGGAGGAAGAGAACGTGGCCTAGGTGAGTTTCAGGCCATGAACATTGGCTATTCCAGCCAGTGAAAATTGGAACTAAGAATTGCTCTAATTTTTATTGGAGCTGGGTCCATACCATTTTGAGAGCAGAAAAGAATCATAGCATCCCCCTCGTAGGTTCTGAACACAGCATTGGTACGTCAAGGGACTGATAGAGCCCACTGTTACAAGTTCTCATTGTCATATCAAAGAGATAACAAATATAGGGAGTTCACATGAGTGGCTGAACTGAGCAGAGTATCCAGGTTTGCAATTAAAGACATTTTTTTCGCAAAATTCTAGTTGGTCTAGTAAAAGATATCACCTCTACCACGAGTCCTGATTCCTTTTGAACCGAGCAGAAGCATCCTGAATGAAGCTAAGAAAATAAGGATTATTTAAGTTTAAACAGAGAGAACACAGGATATTTTATAATGTCAGGAATGCTATAAAGAAGCTCAGACACTTCATACCTTTTTTTGTACACAAACAGTTGTGATTAAATAAAAAAGCAATGCATGCAAATAGATTTGTGCTTGTCAGGGTGGGGCTTGGAAATTGCTTCTGAGCCTAATTAGTGTGTGACTCATTGCAAGATACCATTGAGACCTACAGTTTAGTAGGATTCGAAAGGATACGATGCTCATGTGGACTGCATATTTTAAAGGATAGAAGCCTTCTAGCAGAACAGATGCAGACAGAAAATGCATTTGAGGATGCTTCTCCTTGACTGTCATTAGGAGACACTGGCTGGCGTCAGAGGTGGATTGCTGGATTTAGACTGACCTCTGGTCAGATCCATTATGGCAGCTTCCGAACTTGAGACTGATATTTTGTGACTGAACACTAGTTTGCTTTGTTTTATTTCTTTGTAACTTCTTGAAAAGGTGAATATATTGTGTTCTAATAAAGAGAAGATTAATAATATGGAAACTGTATTGAAGGAATAAAAATGCCTGTTCTGTTCATCTTGTATGGTTCCAAGATCACTTTTGAAATAAATGTCTTCTCTTGAGTGCACTAATTTTATTTTGTTCCTTGTGCAGGTCAAATAGCAACAAATGAAGCACTGAAGAGGGATTTAGAAGGAATTATCATTGGGCTACAGGAATACCTTGAAAGTATAAAGGGTCAGGCTAAGCAAGCCAGTGATGAATGTAAGGAGTTACAAAAAGATAAAGCAGCTTTGCTACAGAGGTTGGCTGAACTGGAAGAGGAAAGAAGCCAGCTGGAAATAGTTGCCATGGATGCAGAAAACATGAGAAAAGTAAGACTATCTTTTCCCAAATCCCAGAGAATAAATTTAGAAACTGTAGAGGATTGAATTCTGAACTACGAAACAAGGTTACAGACCAAATTCTATTCCAATAGGGTAACAAAATTTGGCCTTTAATACTTGTAAAACACTTACAAAGTCTACAGTCATCTGAATATTTTAAGAAGCAACGCACTTTCCTGCATTTATAAACAAGCTCATGGGTACATCAGCCTGCTATTAAAAACTAATTTCATTGTCCTGTTAATGTTGAAACTACAGTGCATGTTTGTACAGTTTGCTGAATTCATGTTGTGAGCAGACTTTGCAGAGCCTGCCTCTCTTAGCAGTACTGTGATCAGGAGTTAGGCAGACAAGGTTCTTTGGATACATGTGATGCCTTTTCTTAGATCAATTAAATAGTTGGAAAAATTGTTTTTTTGCAAGCTTCCAGGCACAAACACCCTTCTTCAGGCACAGGTAACATCTGTTGTCGTTTTGTGTGCTCTTCTGGGTTGAATCCAGCTCTTCTGTGATCAGAAGTTGCTACTCTTGTGATATAAATGGTTGACTTCCTGAATGCCAGGAAACAGGATTTCTTGGTGCATGTTCTCTGGCTAACACTTGAATTTGCTGCATTTGTACTAGAATATGATATGGATCCATGAAATATGTTTGTTGGTTTCTGAGCTGGATGTGTTCTTCCAGGAAATTACAAAGCTAGAAACTGCACTCCTCAACCAGCGTGAAATAAATGATTCTCTCAGAGAGGCACAAGGGGATCTCAGTGCATATGAGGCTGAACTGGAGGCTCAGTTGAAAGATAGAGATGCTGAAGCCAATCAACACAAGGAAGAGCTGGAGAGACTGAAACGACTTAGTCAGGTAAAAAATTGAGGGACTCTAAATGATGGTAAGACTGGAAAAAGCATCAGTAAATTAGCCCAATTTTTATTTTGTTCATAGTCCAAAAAATATTTCCCTTTAGCATGCTAATAATATGGGGTTTCCAGGGTAGCTTTTTTATCAGTGATAAGTTTGTTTGTTTTAAAGAGCCTCTGAGTCCAATATTGACATACTTAATAGTCACCCCAGGTAAATAGTTATGTCAGAAACAGAATTCTCTAATTTCAGGTTTGCTTTCAAGAACGCAAAATATGTCCCTAGCGTTATCTAAGCCAGTGGTCTCCAAAGTGGGGTGCGCAAGACGATCCATTGGGGTGCGGGAAGAAAATATTAGAACTTTTATTTAAATGTATATTTATATAAATATACATGTATTGGGGGTGCATGCTCAAAAATTTTTTACTGATAGGTGTATGTGAATATAAATATACATATATTGGGGTTGTGTGCTCAAAAATTTTTTACTGATAGGGGTGCGCGATCAAAAAAGTTTGGAGACCACTGATCTAAGCCATCAGTTGTTTCCTAAAAAAGGTACCTAGCGTGATTGATGGTGTCACTTCAATATGATTTACAACTTTATGCTGCATGCAAGATAGAGAATACTTTGGGACTATCCATGAAGAATATGATCTGAATTTAAACAAAGTAGAAATTTATGGTTCTCCAGTAATACGTAGATTACACAAACAGGTGTGTGATGAAGTAGGCTGTTGCCTATGAATGCTCATGACTATGAAGCAATTAGTTTCTGCTGTTCCTTATGCCTGACTTGAGACAAAAACAAGGATAAAGCCAGTAGAACACTCTTGGGCAGTTAAGCAGAGGGTTGGTTTTAAGTTTATCATTACCTTTTTTTTTTTTTTTTTTTAATGAAAAACTGGGTTTTCAGCAAAACATCACTTTTCATTCTATTGCTTTTCTTAAAGCATTCACTTTCTGTTGAACTTCTTTTAACCAAACAGCTTGATAAAACAGAACTGTAATTTACTGACTACTGAATTTTCCTGGGAAAATGTTATAAAAATGGAAGGCTTTTTTTACAGCTATTTCCATGAAGGGAAAATTCAGAATATTTATTATTCAGATCAAATTATTGGTGTGGAAACCACTGCTGCTTTGTGTCTTAGTTTGAAAATTTTCTGTGGTTATAGATAGAGCTCTCAGCTCTGCAAGATGAACTTGAAAAAGAAAAGCAGGCACTGGAAAATGCTCTAACCAAAGCACAGATGTCAGAAGAGAAGGAACAGGAAAACAATAAGCTACTCTCCCAGCTCAAACAAGTGCAGGTTAAATATTTATTATCTTAGAATTTACCTGATATTTGGCATGTTCTGTCTTTTTTCCAAAAGTGAATTAATACTTTGTTTTCCCTCTATTGTATCCTCTGCATCCTTTTTACAGCCTCAAGTAGCATGGCTTTTCCCCTTAATTAGAGTACTTCTGCACAGAGTCTCTGTGTTGCAGACAGTATCCTATTTTAGAAATTTGGGTGGGTATTGCAAAAACTATGAAATAGTGGGTTCTGTAATACTCTAGAGGGACTGGTTATTCTTTTAAGGAAGCACATAGTTTTTCCTCTTCCCTCCTTCCTTCCAGGATTCGGTGATTGTGAGGAACAGCGAGGCTTAGGGCTAAGTCCAAAATACTGAATTGAGCACCTAATGCCAGACTTAAGCACCTAAATTCCACCTAAGGCCAAAGTTCCAGCCCTAAGCTCCCTGCTCTTCTGCTACTTAACCCTGGTGGCACTTGAATACTATAGGCTTTTAAAGTTTCTGCCATTAAAGTTCCCTACAGCCTTGAAATCTCAGCTTCATGCACAGAAGTGTGTCAGTTCTCACAGCTGAAGAACTCAATATCTAATCGTACCCAACCCTAATGGAGATCTACAAAGGGCTTAGGTTCTTCTACCTAAGTCCCATGAAGAGCTCAGTCTAATAGGTGTCTTCAGAGAACATGGAAAACAAAAGCAGGCACTGGAAATTGCACTGACCAGAACAGAGATTTTGGAAGAAACAGAATAGGAAAATAATAGGAAATCATGTAGAAGAGGCTGGTGGTTAGGACATTTTGCCAGGAGTTGGGAGGCCTGGGTTCAGTTCCTCCTTCTGCCAGATGAGTTTCTGACAGTTGCCCCCAAGAGAGTGCCCTAAGAGACTAGAGGCCAATCTAGTCCTGGGATGAATCCCTGTTTACCTGCAGGTGAATGCTTAAAATGGATCATAACTGGATGGATATACCTCCCTGCTGCCCTGAGTAAAGCACTAGAAGGGTGAAATTTAGGTCTTCTTCTTCCTTCTGGCTAATCCCAATAGTCCTCAGAGTTGGGGCTGGAACCCAGGACTTCCTCCTCCTACCTGAGAGCCCAGTAGTAACCTAATAGTCACATAGTCACAGCCATCTAAGTTCCTGAGCTGTCTCTGACCTAATGAATCTTGAATTCTTTCTTGCACAGCTTGAGCAGAAGGATGGAGACTACCTTCACCCAGAATAGACTATAGTCTGGTGGTGGTCAGGGGACTCTTCTAGGAGCTGTGCGTTTGAATCCCCTGAAGTAGCAGAGGGAATTTAAGCAAAGCTATTAATTTATGGGCGAGTGCTGTAACCATTAGATTATTATAAAAGAGGTGTGCCAACACCAAGAGAAGTGGTGCTGGCTCCTACCCTGGGGGTCTTCAAGAGGAGGCTAGATGTACACCTTGCTGGGGTCGTTTGACCCCAGTACTCTTTCCTGCCATGGCAGGGGGTCGGACTCGATGATCTGCTCAGGTCCCTTCCGACCCTAGAAACTATGAAACTTCCACCTGTTTCTCTTCCTTGATACAATGGTCAGCCCTGCCCATTTCTTAGGTTCCTTTGTTCGTATTGGGGTTCAGTCTAGGAGCGATCCTACAAGGGAGAAAACGCATTAGAAGTCTGTTGTAGCAGATTTTGGTCATATCAGAAATTAAATTCAACCAAAGCTTGATTTATTAGCTCTCAGGAAACATATATGGATATGTATTGTTTGTCCTTGCACCAGGCAACCCATCAGCAGAAAAAGAAATCTCAGCTCTCAAACAGTAATCAGTCCTCAATAAGGCTCTGAGACTAAAGGGAATTTTTAAGTAAGAAAGGACCAATTTTGGAAACAGCAAAGCGTGTATGAGTCTCACTAAAAATCATTCTTGTCTTGTTTTCTTAATAGGATAATTTTGCAGTGTGTATTCTGTGTCTTTGTATGAGTCTGATTGTTGAAATTAGTGGCTGTGTCTTTCAGAGAAGCTTCTCACAGTTGAGTTCTCTAGTGAAATGAGAATTCTGTTGTTTGCTTGTGTTATCAACTCCTTCATGGCAACAGGTTTTGCATGTACAAAGATGTGTTTATTCATTATATTGCTAAGAAGGGAATAGAATAAAGCAGAGCTCGCTTTTGAATTGCCATTGAAATATCCTTAACAGAATTAGTTGCAAGGAAGAGATTAATTTTATATTGGGGAAAGTGTCAGAGTCTATAAAACACTGGAAGCTGAATCTTTAAATCTTGTTTTGTAGGGAGACAATAACCTTTTGAAGCAACAGCTTAAAGATCTTCAAAATCAGCTAAACCATGCAATTGATAACTTAATTCATCCTGAAGAAGTCTTAGCTCGTGTAAGTGAACTCAAACGAAAATTGCAGACAGGAGCTGGAGATATTAGGTGAGTAAAATAACTTATTACTAACGTTAAATCTGTGCATATCAACTCTTTAAATATGCAGGAGCAGTAACACACACCCCATTTCTCTAACTTCGTGTCTTAGTTCAGATATGCAGAATCCTGCACTCGGCCCCCGTAAATCTTCCCTCTACAATATTATGTGGATTGGGCTGTCAAAGCAAGACCTTTGCTCCACATCTGCTTAAATAACCTGGGATGGTTCATAAACTCTTGGTCTAATCCAGGGGCGGGCAATTATTTTGGGCAGAGGGCTACTTATTGAGTTTTGGCAAGCTATCAAGGGCCACATTACAGGTAGCCCAGGGCAGATAAATATTAATTTTCTAAATTTTTTAGGGGCCCCGTGGGCTGGATAGAATGGTCTAGTGGGCTGCATCCAGCCCCTAGGCCACATTTTGCCCACCCCTGGTCTAATCAGATGCCCCACTCCTGTCTCCCCCAGCCCTTTCCCCAGCATGCAGCAGTTGGACAACCCTGCACTAGATTAGTAGGTTAAGAAAAGCCCAGATCTAGCACCAAGAATTAAAATGACTGCAGTCTCCCTTTGTAACATGGGTTATTTTTTTTTTCAGATGTCATAATTCAACTGATGCTTTAGGAAAAAGCCTCGCAGACCTGCAGAAGCAATTCAGTGAAACCCTTGCTCATTCACAGCAAGAAAAAGAGGAGGCATGGGCTAGACAGAGGCAGCTACAAGAAGAGCTGGCATCTCAGCAAGATAAATTGGAAGATTCAAAGGAAAAATACAGACAGGTATGTAACAAAGCTGCAGAAGCAAGAGCAAGAGAATGGCAAGCTAGCCGAAAGAACAAAATTGCTGGGGGGTAGCTAAAGGGATCAGACCTCAAATTCAGCAGAGTACTGGCTGTGTGTCTCAAAGAATAGTAATATCATTCTTTATTAGAGAGATGAATATATTTGCTTGCCTGATACGGGTGCGCTAAAACTGAAATATAGAAGCACCTAGCATTGCATTGTAAATCACATGATCAGTAGGCTTCTAAATTTCACCTTGTAACAGTAATGGTTTCTCTTAAGCACCATCAGTGGGAGACTATATAGACTGTTAAAAATAACATTTTTCATCCAGAGTACTTTATTAACAGCTTTCCCATTATCCAGAATATAACAGTGTGTGTAGAGCAGGGAAGCACAGATGCATATGAGCACTGCTTTGATTTACACTTGTATCTTACTTTAAAGCAGAGGTGCTCAACCTTTTGGCCCTGTGGGCTGGATGAGTGGTGTGGAATCAGTCTACAGATCCATGAAGTTTAGCTACCAAATCAGGCCCCACACTGCCCAAATCCTGCCTCACACCCAATCTGGCCTGCAGGGCCATGTTCTCCACCTGCAGGGCTCCCAACAGGTCTGGAATTTGGCAGCCGGAAAGTGGCAACACTGCCACTGCTCCACCCACTGCCAAAACTTGGAAAATTTGCTAAAATGGAGAGTTCTGCAGGCCGGATGATACTGCTCTGTTGGCCCACAGCCTGGGGGCTGAGCACCTATGAATTAAACATAGTTTAATATGGAGTTGATTTTTTTTAATTGCGGAGCTGATTTTTTCAGCTGTCTTTATTGTATGTACCTCACCAAAATCTAGATTCCTAAAAGCTAAATACAGGTAGAAAAAGTAGAAATAATGGTCAGGGTATCATTTTCAAAAGTACCTAGAGAACTTAAGCTCCTAAATAACTTAGCTGTTTTTAAAATATGACACTATTGCACCAGTGGCTCTTGTCTCGATCTGTCTGGTAACCAGTATGCTGCTAATAGCACGTTCTAACAATCAGATTTTTAACAATCAGCAAGAATATTGATCAAAACATGCATCAAATGTCTCATGATGTTGGCTTGGATTTACCTTGACTGCAGGTTAAATCTGAGAAGAGGCAGAGTGAGACTAGGCTTCATCAGTTAGAGAAGAAAATTCAACACTTACATGAAAAAATAAAAAGCATGGAAGAAATACAGGGCCTTGCAGATCAACAGCTTCAAGAAGCTGATGAGGAAAAGGAGAAAATACTTGCTCAGCTGGAAGATTTGGAGAATAAGGTGGGAAGGAAATAAGAAGGAACAAGTATGCAGACTGAATGCAGTTGCTTGGAAAAGCAACTTTCTTTTTAAATGCTTTGATTTCTAGGGTTTGTATGTGTTACCTGGGCTCTAAAGGGGGTGCATGTTGTTGAAGTGTTTCCAAATAGAGGGTGGAACAAAATAACTCTGCATACGGACGTAAATAAGAATACCCCACTGCCAACCGGCAAAGAATATGTTGGCAAACTGTAAATCGGTGACCAAAGATTCATCAGGTTCTCATATGCATATTCAGATTATTACATATGTAACTCTCACTTTGTAAGATAATTTCAGTTTTATTCTGGTTTAATATTTAAAATGTGTTTTATTTTAAAATTCTTTGCATTTTTAAAAAATACTCAAGTGAAAAAACAACCCCCAAGATAATGCTATATAAAGTTGGGCCTAATCATATGATTCCTATGGTACAATAAAATAGCTTATAGAAAAGCTGGAAGAAAGTTATGTCAATATTTAAATCTTTATCTTACAGATTTTTAAAAGTAATAAATGACTATCAAACCCTTTTTTCCCCATTTCAGAAAAAGCTGGAGGATGCCAAGGCACAAATGCAACTTCTTGGGCTAGATAAAGAACTGAAGGAATTAAAGAAAGCAATAGTTGCTTCGGATAAGTTGGCAACCACTGAACTCTCTCTTGCCAAAGATCAGCTGAGGGCTCTTCATGGAACCGTTCTCAAAATTAACCAAGAGCGAGCTGAGGTGAATTGATCAGCACAGGGATATTAAATTGGGTGCTATATTTAAGCAATTTTTAACTATACTGGAGCTTGATATATACAGTCTTCATTTGGGGGCAACTCTTATTTTAAAATACATAAATTGTTGATGTAGCTTAGGAAATTTGAAGATGGATAAGCTTGGTGTCTCTCGACATTCAAAACAGTTTTGAAGAGGGAATTTCTGCATAGATTGGAAAAGCAACTACTTTAGTATCTGAAAACTGGAATGTAGTAATAAAATATTTACTTGAGTTAGGAAATATAAGAGCAGGCAAAGATATGATGAGAGCAAGTTCTTAAGACTTCACACTCTCTGCAGATCTGCAACCATGTGCCAAAAAAGTACTTTACATGATAGATTGTATACCATGTAAGAAGAATAAGACCAGTAATGCAAATGATAGAAATGAAACTGGTGAAGAAATTCAGAAAGTTGATGAGCATAAGCATTTATCATTAGTATCCTATTTACAGTGCTACATGAGACATCAGTAACTATAAAATAAAAATAAACTTCAAAATTAAAGTTCCAATCTGATTTGTACTTTAGGAATTTCAGGAAGCAGAGGAGTTCTGTATGCAGGCAGCTCATGCAGCTCGTGATCTTGCCCGAGCAGAAGCAGAAATTGAATTGTTGCAACAACTTCTAAAAGAAAAGGAAGAACAGGTAAGCTGTGCTGGCTGTATCAGGTTATAAAAGCTCAAGGGGAGAATGTCAGATATGTGGAGAGCAATTTGAACTAAGCTCATGGTTAAATTTAATATATAGGTGAACCTAATATTTTAAAAATTATTGACTCCCTGATGAAAATTTCTTTTTTTAGCTTTGTCCTGGAGTTTTCCAGATATTACTTTCTATCAATCATAAGTGAAAATCTGCTGAAATATCATGTCATAAATGGCTTTTTACAATGGTCTTTGTAAAAAGATCTCCATCATTTGGAGGGGGGAAAAGCCATCTTTGTCATAGTAATTTTGCCATGCAGTACTGTCTTGTCTATGAATAGACTTTAATCTATTTGTAAGTTATAATAAAGTCAAAATTCACTTCTTCTTTTTTTAAGTTTCAGCATGAAATGGAGAGAGCTGATGCTGAGGCTGTTGCATCAGATTTTCAGAAGTTTGATCTTGATAAATTAAATCGGACTCTGGAACATCAGAAAGCAGAAACTGAACGACTACGAAGGTTATTAGATAATGCTAGGGCAGGTAATCCTTCTCGTTTCTGCTTCTACAACTTGCATTCAGCACAAGGTATAATTACGGGGCGTTCAGTTTTACTTATTCAAAGGATTTTTAAACTGTTTAATTCTTTACAGGTAACAAGGATGAAATACACAGCTTACTGGATGAGATAGCAGCACTCAGACATGCCCTTTCTTATCAGAATGATTACATCAGCAGTATAGCAGATCCATTCAAAAGAAGAGGATATTGGTATTATATGCCACCTTCATCAGAAGTACGGAAATAAATTAAAATGACATTTTGCGAAAAGTAATTTGATTTGAAAAAAATTTATTATTAATTTCACTAATTCTAAATGTAAGAGCACCCTAAATACAAAGATCTCTTCCCAAACAAAATGTTCATAGAACTCTATTAGGACAGTTTTTGGCTGTTAATTAAGGTTTTGAAACACATGTGATAGTTGAGCATTGCATATTGAAGTTACCACATTCTCTCTAGTGCTAACATGTACTGTAAGGGTTAGCTCACATTTAAAGTCTGTGTAGTTTCAAACAAGTCAGCTCTTCACAAAATTTATTCTTTTGCAACAGACTTCCAGTCATCACACAAATTAGCATCATCTCCCTGAATGCTGGAGAGTTTAATTTAGAAAATGCCCAAGGATGCTATAGTCATGTAAATTTAACGGGCAACTGTCAGAATCTAAACATTTTTTTGGATTCCCAAAAGAATAACAGAATCTAAATATATTCTCATTTAAAGATGGGACAACTGCTTTGCCCACTGACTGTCCACAATTTGTATTCAAACTTCAGTTTAATTCTTTTATTAAGTATTTGACAGCTAAAACATACTCAGAGTAAAATGCATCTTCGTTGTTAAATTTACTGTAAGAGATGTAGTCTAATATCCCATTTAAATCAATGTCAACTGCTAATGAGTAGTGAAGAAACGTTAGCGAAAGGGATAGACAAAAGGGTACTGTAGTCAAATATAATAGGCAGCCTCATGTAGTTTTAACAAATGTTTCCTCCTTAGCTATTGATAATAAAAAAACATAACAGGTCAAAAGGAGACTCTTCTAATAAAATAAGGTTTCTGAGACTTTTTGTAGTGCATATCAAATCTTTATAGAGAATGTATTGTCTATTCTCTATTTGCATGTGATAATGTAACAACGCTGTGGTAGCCTTGCCAGTTGATTGTGTTAAAGTAATAATAGTTAAATATTTTTTGCATATTTAGCTTTCTTTTAATGCAAGGTAATAGTTTGAATCAGTAACAAACACTGAGAGACAGGAAGGTCTTTGAAGGCCACCGTTTGGAAACATCTGTAATGGAAACTTAATCTTAACATGCATTATTCTTTGGATATTTTTTAGGTCTCCACTCCTGGTTCTTACAGCACAAAAGACTCTGGAGTTGGCTTGCAGTGTCCTGGCTCATCCCCAGCTAGAAAGGCCCATGGTCAAGGCAAGCAGATCAGGAAGGAAGACTCTGCCTCACCCACTGCAAGAGGATATTGGGTGTATTCACCAGTTAGAAGCAGGTTGCACAAATCAGATTCCAATAAAAGTAGGTTTTCCTCGCACAGATGTTCAAGAAAGTACCAAACTCCAGTTTGAGTTCAAGGTGGAATTTCTAAAATGGGTTAATTGTAAAAATGGGTTTTATTAATATTGTGCTGTATGTTATATGTAAACATGTAATATATGGTGGTGCTTGTGGCCTTTGTTTCAGAGAAGTGTATGTTAACAATGGCATTGATTTAAAAAGAGGTTGTAATTCCAATTTTGTCTTTCTGTCTTAAGATGGAAGAGATGAAGATAGTGGGGGAGATGACGAAACAAATGTTCCCAGGGAGCCTCCCTTTGTACCGCCTCCTGGTTCTGTTATTTATACCGTACTTCCTGATGGTGGCCCTGTACCCCAGGGAACAGTAGTTTATGGACCGCCTCCTTCCGGACCAGTGAATGGTAGACCAGTTGCACCTGGAACAGTTATCTATGGACCACCTCCTGCTGGAACTCATGTTGTTTATGGCCCTCTTCCTGCTAACTTTTCTGTGCCCCTCATTCCTTTTGGAGTGCTTCACTGCAATGTTCCTGAGCATCATGACATGGTAAGTACACGGGAGAGGTTCAGCCATATGCAACTGGTCACTGTAGAGCAGTCGTTTTCAGCTTTTTTAGACTCGACACCCCTTGAAGGCACCCTCAGTGCTGAATATCATCAAATGATAGAGACCAGTTGGGTTTCCTTCCTCTTCCTGTGTGTTACTGGGATATGTTAAATGTACATGTTCAGCTGTGTGTTTATTTACAAGCACTATTCCTGGGGAAAACCGTGCACTTCTGGTTGAGTAGTGCAGCATTATGTTAGGTATTCAAGAGTCAGGAATCAGTCAACCAGGACAGAGCATCTTCAGTCATGGATAGTCCAACCACAGGCCTCTGCAGCTGCTGCTTTCTGTGGAACACAGCTGCTTAGGAGAGCCAGTGAGGAGAGTTGCACTTGCTTGCCTTAGTAAGGTTTTTTTCCCCCCATCCTCTATTTAGGAAAATGAAATCTCAAGACTTGAAGACATTGTATATCACTTAAGGTCTCAGAAACGGGACTATACGTGGCCAGGCATGTCTGTACATAAACATAATAAAGAAATGGAAAAACTGCATCAGAATATTGACAATCTTCTATGTGAGAGGGAAGAACTGGAACGCGAAGTAGCAGAACTACGTACAGCAGCTGAGAAACGTAGCAAACGCAAGTAAGAGCATTAGAGTGAAGTATACTTAAACATGTGCCCAAAAAATCTATTATTCAAAACCTATTAGTAAAGATGGTTTTGCCAAAATTCTGTAGATAACTTGTGTTCAAGTTGTGTGTGTAAGGGAGTACAGCTCCTGCGATACCAGGCAGACCATTTTATAAAACCAAACAAGTAAAATTCAATGTTCATTTTATTGTGTGTGTGTTTTTTTTCCTTTTCTTTTAGGAACTTCATTGAAGGGCATATTGACAGCCTTATTACAGAACTAGAGTTAGAAAAATCTCTCAAGCACCATGAGGACATCGTGGATGAAATCGAATGCGTAGAACAGACTCTTCTGAAACGACGGGCAGAGCTTAGGGAGGCAGATCGACTTCTTGCAGAAGCTGAAAACGAACTTGAAAGTACCCGGGGGAAGGTAAGTTGTTGTGTGATCTTGTATCCCTTCTATAAAATGTTGTGTCCTGTTCATTCCTCTTTTTAAATGGATGAGATATTCCTCTTTGTAAGCCAATGCAGATTTGGGTAAAGATTGTTATATGTGACCTAAGATTGTTCATTTACTTTCTTTAATTACAGAGGTGAATGCAAGTTCTTATTTATTTCAGTGGACATGGATGCTGAAATAGTTACCACGCTGGGTTTTAAAAGGCATTGGAAAATACATTTTATGACTTAATATTCTGCATATTAATCATCCATCTCCCTGTCTTTCCTTTATTAATAAATCTCATTCAAACAAAGTGTCAGGTTTCTGTTCTTAGATAGAAGCATTCTTACCTGAGTAACAAGTGCTATATAGGTTTCTTGTGGTTCTCTTGTTTCAGTACCTTTTAAAATAATCCTCAATTTCTTGTGTAGACCAAAGACACTATTCAAAAGTACAATCATGCCAAACAGCATTTGTCTCGCACCGAAGCTGAGGCAGAGGAGTTAGAGCGAAGGGCTCAGGAGATGACTGTTAAGCTTGTGAAAGCAGATCAGCAACTAAGGTACACTCGATTTATATTTCACGTGTTTTGCTTGACTGTGCGATATCTATCTCTGAAATGGATAGAACAAACGAGGACGTGTTTGCTGTTGCTTTCAGATAGGTACGGCTGCGATGGTATGAAAAATATTAAATGTATTTTAGGTTACTCCAAGCAGATGCAAGGGATTTAGAACAGCACAAGATTGAACAAGAAGGTATCTTGAAGGAAATCAATAGAGTCATGTCATCGAGAGATTCTGAGTTCCAGTCCTTAAGCCAGAAGATAGAAATCTTGACGGAAAGGTAAATATCAAATTAACCTTAAATACTTACGGGTAAAGCATGCCTCAGATTAGTCTAATGGCAAAGGGAAGGACTACATAATGTGTTTTGTTCCTTCTAAACTGTATTCTAATCTAATTGTTAGTCTTCAGAAGCTTCAAGCAGACATTCAGGTTGCAGAAGGTAATGAAGATCATCATCTCCAGATCCTTAAAGAAGCAGAAAATGTTCTTCAGGGCAAGAAAAATGAGCTGGAAAGGTTAACAGATCAGGTAAGAAGTGTGTGTTCACAGTTGATTTGGAGTTTTTTGGGGAACCTGCGTGGTGGGGTGTTTTCTCCTCCATGCACTGAGGAGAAGAAAAAGAACTGTGCTCTGAATCTCCTAGTCTGATGTATTTGCTGTATAGGTTTTTATTTCAAAAGCCCTGCAAATATGTATTGAAAACAAGATCCTGTGTATGCATATACACATGTATGTCATCAGTATCTCACTCTTTTGCTTCCTCCCTTTGTTGCCTTTTGCGATAACTTTGGCCTTGGTCTTGGAAACACTTGCACATATAAATACTATACTGAGCTCCAGTGAAAATTCATGTGTGTAAAGCTGCTAATGGGTATAAACATTTATGGACTCCCAGCTGTAGAAGGAAAGCTTTTTCAGCCAGGGACTCATGCTGTGTCTGTAGAGTGCCTTGTACAGCGTGGCTTCTTGTCCCCATTTTGTCCACTGGCTGCTACTACAGTATATGTATTTTTCAAAACCTGCCCAACAAAAAGACCCTGTTTGTCAATACCTAGATGAGGCAGTGTATTTTTAATATAGCCATGAATATATTTTAGTTACTTGTTTGTTTAGGTCCTTGTCTTTTATTAATTTCTATACTGTAGATAACCACTCAGCAACAAGAGCTGGTGCTCTTGGACCAAGAGCTGGATCAAAGGAAAGAAGAGTTGCGTCTCCTTCAAGACTGCATTGCCCAAAGGAAAGCAGATCTCAAAGAAGCTCTTCAAGATGGGGAGACGGACGTGACTGAAAAACGACAACAGATAAGGGTAAACCGTCTGTTGCCATGTTCTGTTAACTATCTGCACGGCTTAGTTCAGCAACAGAAGTTGAAGCATCTCTCAAAGCTTTAAAGAAATCCTTCTTCAAAAAAAAGGCAGGCTTGTAGTTTTGTTATGCTTAATGTGCACTGGCCCTGATCTAGATCCAGGTAGAACCACCTTGGATTTCAGCGATATAGATTCAGTCACATGTCATGTTTTGGTGGGTGCACTGTTTGGGGTACATTAGGTTCTGGTGTCAAGTGGAGCACATGGATGAGTGTAGCTATGACTTACTGTTTTCATAGGACGTGAGGTGTCAGCTGGAAGAACTGAGCATGCAGAAAGGAGAACTGAATGCCCAGATAAATGAAAAAAGAACACAGCTTTCCCTTATAAAGCAAGACACCGGGAGAGAGGAAGAAAATCTGCAAGGAATTCTTGGACAAATTGCTAAGCACAAAACGGGTATGGCTCTGATGGTGAGGTACATGGTTTTGCTCCAGCTTAGAATGTATTGAATTCCGGTGCTTCAGTGAACTTCTGTTCATCTGGTTTTTTAGACTGTTTCAGGTTATTAGTATTAAAGCTAAAGCGTTAGTGCTAAAACATATGTCTAATGTTTTTTACCTGAATGAAGAAGAGAAATTTTGTAGAGGATTTTTCATGGGTTAGACATTTAAAAAAAATCTCAAAAGTGAGATTCCTAATTTTCCTCCTTAAATTAAGACTATATATTTAGAATGACATAAATCTCAGAACCCCATGAAAAGACTATGACATGCAGTGTTCATCCTGTATAACAGTATAGTGACCAGTGACCTGACTCAAAAGGACATAACAGAACCCAAAGTTAACCCGAGGCCTCCTCCAGTGTTCTGGCCAAAACCAGTCTTCTTCTCAGACTAATCACTCTCTTCAGGTCTCTTGCTGATGGGTTTTCCCCCCTCAAACCTCACACTTCACCTTGCAAGGCAAAACTTCACCTGTTTCATGATTCTTTTTTAAGAACTGTCTTGATTTCTCTTTCAACTAGAACTGAAGCATGTTCTGGAAATGTTGCAGCTAGAAAACAATGAACTGCAAGGTTTGAAACTACAACATGACCAAAAGCTTAATGAATTGGAAAAGACTCAAGTTGCATTGCTGGAAGTAAGTGTTTCTTTTGGAGTTGATAAAACAACAGAGGAAGAAGGAATCTACTTTTTCCAGTTCCCTAGAGGATTATGATTCTAAGTCAAGCCAGCAGCCATTGATTTGGACGAGGTGGATAAACTCATTCTCCAAAGTGAATCAGTACCTAGAAATTTGAAGTATATCATTAGATAAATCATGATTGTTTCTAACATCCTGAGTGATTTTTGCCTTTTCAGGATACTTCAGTAACAGGATTAGCAATTTCTGCATATAAAGGTTTCTGTGCACTCTTGGATCTTTGCAGATGGAAGGCACTGTGCAAATGAGAAAAGGTGTTATTAATTTAATTTCAATTGTTCTTAATATCTAAGCCTATTAGACATTTTATGTCCTTGTTCAAAGGAGAAATTAGAGATAGAGACTCTCCAGCGAGTGGCCCAGCGCCAGCGAGGGGAAGTAGAGTGGCAGAGGCAGCTACTGGAGAAAAACCAGCATGAAAACGAGCAGTTAATGTCACAGGTGCATGCTCTGCAAAACAGCACTGAATCTTTGAACAGAGAAAAGCAGCAGCTTGAGGAAAACTGTCAGAGCTTGGAAATAAAGTTGTCACAAACCAAAAGGTGAGAGAGACTTTTTTTTTTTTTTTTAAGATCAGTGACTAGGGAGCCTACACGTTTAAACTTCATAGCAAGAACAATTCCTTTTCCTTAAAAAAAATGGATAAATAGAATTAAAATATGGTGTATTTTCCAAATCTGTGGAGGCCTGCTATTTCAAGCAGCTCTACTTTGCCTTGGGGTCAAAACCTGAATTGGTGGGTATTTTCCATATCTGCAGTTGTAGGGCAGCATAATGGTACGCATTAATAACCACAACACTTTGAATTTTTGAATTAGGATGGAAATAATATTTCCTGTCAAATTAGAAATCCCCTTTACGTTCTCAAAAAAATAAAAGGAGCAATGGTCTTAAGCTGCAGCAAGGGGAGTTGAGGTTGGATATTAGGAAAAACTCTCTCACCAGGAGGGTGGTGAAGCACTGGAACGGGTTACCTAGAGAAGTGGTGGGATCTCCATCCTTGGAGGTTTTGAAGACCCAGGTAGACAAAGCCGTGGCTGGGATGATGTAGCTGGGGCTGCTCCTGCTTGGAGAAGGGGGTTGGACTAGATGTGACCTCCTGAGGTCCCAACTCTCATTTTCTATGATTCTATTCTAATATAGCTATCTTTAAAAAAAATCCTTGCCAAACATTTGGAAAAGATTGTACTTTTCACATTTTACAGAAATTTAGCTACTACTGAAGATAGCAGCAAAGCTGCACTGTCCAATATAGAGAAAATGGGGTTGGATGTCAGAAAATTGCAACAGGAAATTGAACGAATAAAGAAGCAAAAAAAATCACTGGATGGAGACGTGACAGTAATACAGCAACAAATTCAAGGTACTTTGCACCACTTTTTGAGGTGTGGCATATATAAACTCACTTACATTTAAACCATTATCTGTGTTAATTAGTCAAAAATCACTTGTGGCAGAAAACGTTTTAAAAGATGACCCCTTGCATTCACATCTGATACATACAGACCTACATATAATATTTTAGAAACTAGGTTTCTGTGCGTGTGCAGTTACTTCACAGATTTGTCTGCTCAAATTATCTTGTTTTCTTTTACCAAATGTATTTTGCTTTCTATAGAAAAAAAGGAAGAGCTTGAAATACTGAAGGAAGAACTAAATTACTCCAGGCAACAAGTTCAGCTGGCAGAGCAGGTTAGTTTTGGTGAAGATAAGGCTTTATGTAAGAGGGAAAAAATCTGAAATAAACTTGGAGTCATTTGGCTCACACCAGCATGTGACACGGTTCCAAGAAGAGCTTCCCGTGGTGGTACCGACAACACAAGTATCCATTTTGCAGTAGAAGCAGTCCCCCAAGGAGCTCTTCAGAAGTACAGCGCTTTTTGCAAAGGAGAGGGGCATTCATCTGCGTACCTTTTTAAAATTGTGCCTTAGAGCTCTTAACATTTTAATCTACTGAATGGCAATGGGGCCTGCTCAGTAAGGAGCTGTTCAGTGTGGTAAGGGTGGCGGATGAGTATGCCCTGTGAGAGAACTGTTTCATACAGGGTGCTTACACATGTTACTCATTTTTAGCAATCGTTTGACCTCCTCTATATTTGCTCAATGACACAGGATCTGAAAAATACCACGAAGCGCCAGGACGAGATGCTTAGAGAACAGGCAACCCTACAAGAAATCACCAGTGAATGTTTAAGGAAGTGTAAAGATTGCCAAGAGAAACAGAAAAGGAAGGAGAACCAATTACAGCAGCTCCAGAGAGAGATTGAAGAGAGGGAAATGGAAGTGGCCAAACAAGAAATGGTAATGAGACTCTCTAGGTTTCACTCTGATCCATTGAGCCAAAAGCTTTTATTGTCTAAGCCTCTACAAGACTACCACTGGCAAAAGGGGGCTGCAGGTACATGTTCACAGTTCAGTTCAGTACGGTCACAACAGCAGTGCTTCATTAACATAACATATTAACACATGCACCATCCTGTGCAACGTATCGGCATGTCAGTATTGAACAAAATAACACCAGGAAACTTGGTATGCCCAGTTTTTCTAGTCATTGGG